TTTTTTTTTTTTTCTTGGTTCCATCGTATTGCTAACAATGCGACAAATTGGTATACAAATATGTGTTTTATATTTGACCGTTTATTGACACATATACATTCAAAAACCAGTAAGGAAAGCTGTAAAGTCAGACAGGGCGCAAGCTCTGTAGTACCCTTCACCATTTTGGCTATATTCAACAGATGAATCCCAACAGACGTCGCATTAAAGCACCAGTAAAATTAATTTGGATCCATGAACATCTGATCTGCAACCGACACTAAATTTTTCAATTTGGTCAAATTTAGAAGCTATATTTAAATCTGAACCGATTTTCACGAAACTTAACACACATCGTTCTGGATGTAATTCAGTACATGGGAGCTATATCTAAATCTGGACCGATTTTCAGGAGACTTTTACATACATCATTCTAGACCTATATGATTTGGCTGTACCAAATTTCGTGCAAATCGAAAGATATATAGTGACTTTGGTGCACCATTTATAAAAATCGGACGAAACTATATAAGAGCTATATCTAAATCTGAACCGATTTTCATGAAACTCAGCACACATCATTTTAGGCCTAATTCATTACGCTGTGCCAAATTTCGTGTAAATCGAAAGATATATAGGGACTTTGGTGCACTATTTACCTAAAATCGGACGAAAATATATATGGGAACTTTATCTAAATCTAAACCGATTTTTTCCCAATTTCAATAGGGTTCGTCCATGGGCCAAATAAGTAACCTATGCCAAATTTCATCCAAATCGGATCATAAATGCGACCTGTACTTTGTTCACAAAAATATACCACAGTATGGTTAAGGGTATAAATAGCTAAATAAATAACCAATATTTTTATTCGAAGTTTCATTCTGGGGTTCATTCTTAAATTTTCTTTTCCAAAAAAAAAAAAAAAAACAAAAATCCATTACATCCTTTCAACTCACCCATATTTTGTGTCCGTAACATTTCGAATTCTCTCTGCCATTTATCCTCGCATATTTTCCTTTCATTTTCCGAATTTTCCAAAGCACTCTTCAGCAGGGCAACCTGTTCCTCCAGTGATGTGCGTATCCTTTCGACTTCATCGCGCTGTTCCTGGGCATCGGTTTGGGCTTGAGCCAATTGAGTTTGCAAATTACTAGCCAACGCTTGAGTTTGTTTATATTTTTCTTGTAATTCGTTATATTGAGTTTCGAGTTCATCTGTTCAAAAAAAGAAACAAACCAGCAACAATAACAAAATGGGGGGAAAGAATACAAAAGGCCAAAATTACAGAGTATTGGTCAATTGCACCTTTTTGCAAAGGAAAGAAGCTAAAAAAACAAAACTAAAAAAGACAAAAAAGCGCTACAAACCATATTTCGTTTTCAGCTCATCTTCGCATTCGTGAAAACGATGGCGTAAATTTGTTTTTTCATCCTCCAGCACTTTCAGCTTTTGGCGGACATATTCATCATCCCGTTGAGCTGCATTTAATTCTCCCTGTAATCCTATTGCAATGAAAGAAATTGCATTAAGTTTTTTATTCACTGTGGGTTTTTTCACATTTATTCTTGAAGGGGTTGGCTTCTGGAAGGGGTGGGCTATGTGATGCAACACATGGGTGTACATACAGCCATATCGGTTGGCTAACCCCTTTTTTTTGATGCGGACCCCCAATTTATGTGTTCGCTGATACCCCAACACTTACTTTCAACATTCCAGGTTTTGGTGGATAATTCTTGTTCTAAGGTTTCAATTTTCATTTGCATTTCATTGATTTTCGTTTGCAGTTGATTCACATTTTTGTGCGCATCTTCCAGTTGTTGAGTAAATTGAGTTTTCTGCTCCAAAAGTTCCTTTCTGCAATGGTGAAAAGTAAAAAAGGAGAAGAAGAAGAACGTTAGTGAGCCAATTGTGAAAATATGTTAATGGAAATTAAAGTGCAGAACATCGATCTTAACATGTTTCCGAATTCATTTTCATGAAGGGGAGAAAACAGTTTTTTTTTGCATTTTTAAGAAATTAGAATTCTTATCTGTGCAAATGCATGTTAAGCATTTTGAGCATGTCCCGATTTAGTTTATTTGGCGGATAAAATTCAATGTTGCTTTATTAGCACAGAGAGACTTAAAATAATTCTAATGAAGCTTGTTTTATGTGCTAGGCACACATTTAGATTGCAATAAATGTTCGGATTCTGTAACAGTATGTAGAAAATAAAAATGACCTAAGGTCACACAATTTAATAGAGAGAAATAGAAACAAATAATAAGTCCACTTTGTAGGGAAGGTATTTCTGAGTCGATTTATGCATTTATGATGCGAATTGGATGAAATTTGTCACAATTATTTGGGCCAAGGACGAATCCTATTGAAATTGGGAAAAATTGGTTTGTATTTAGATATAGCTCCCATATATAGTTTCGTCCGATTTTTAACAACTGGTGCATCAAAGACCCAAAGTCAGGCCGATTCGCAGTGGGCGATTAGGCCTCGCTAGGGGCACTTAATTCAAGTTTTCAAATTTGAAAAAGCGTTAATTTTTTCACAAATCGATAACAGATGCTTTGATTAGATTTTTGGCGTTATTGTAAGCTCTACGATCAACAGATCATCAGCTGTGAGTTGTCAAACACAAAATATGTTTTAGCAAGTTCTTTAGAAATATTTTTTGTTGTGTGCATTAATTTCGAGCTCCTTGGAAATTTAAATTTTGTACTTGTTTTATTAAAAATGTGGCTTTTTATTTACTTCAAGGTATGTATTACATAAAAAATCAGTGTTTACTGCCGGTCTATAAATGTGTTGTTCATAAAACGTAGTGGTAATTAAGTGTATTAACATATAGCCCGCTATTGCGTGCACATGCCGTTAGTGGAGTAGAACTTACAAGATTCGCACGGATTAGGTCTAACTCTTTTTTTAGCTGGAAGTATGAGTCATTATACGTTCAAAATGTGTAATATGAACTGCTACTACCTGCTAACCTTTAAATCATGGCACTTTTTAGGAACAATGTCGGTAACAAAACGGGAACTTTTTTTAGTATGGCATGAAGAAGCGATCGCAACCAAGAAGTTTCTCGTCATGGAAAACTTTGTATTTGGTACAGTTCTCAAAAACCTTAAATGTACTCAGGAGGAGCAGTAGAAATTGGCAAAAAGCTGTGAAATTTTACTAGTAAGCTTATAGAAATGTGGAAAACCTGTAGAAGAAAAAAGGTTTAAAAAAACAGGAATGGTTAGATACGCCTTTAGTAATCATAATTGGACATATCAAGTACACATGGAATTTGTCAAAGAGAGCCGCTAAAGGACCGATATATCCACTATACGACAAACTGCATTGTGCGAAAAAAATGATATCCTAGTGTCATCACGGTCACTGGTAATTTCGCTGAAGTACCATTACAAAGCTTAGTGGACCATACGATTGCTAGGATTATTGAAGCACGCCCAGAAAGTTTTCAGAATCAAATAATAATAACACCCAATTAACTGATACCTTGGTACCAATTAACAAATACCTTGGTATAATGTCCGAAGAAGCTCTTGAAGGCAGAAACAAGGACTATCGAAACATAAGCGAGAGCAATACAAGAAAAAATTCCAGGAAAATACAATGGAAGATATTATAAATGATTTATTAGTTTCGTCAGACACTTTGATGTCTTCATTGTCAAGTGGGTCCTCAATTTCGTCTGCAAAAAATATTATTATGGACGATGATGTCAAGAGATATCTTTTAATGAAGCATCTCAATATGTCTGATTCAGAAGATAATTTTGATTTATAAAATTTGTTTATTGAAGTTAAAAAATAAATTTTAAATTAAAAAAAAAGTTTTTAAAATAAAAAAATATGTTGGCATTACTAAGACTAAATTAAAGACAAGAATATCCGCACATAAATCGGATCAAAAAGCTCTTTACAAACCCATAGAGCAAAAAACAGCCCTTGCAGCACCCTGCACAAAAACTGGACATACCCCAGATTTTAATGACATAAAAATTCTAACTCAAGAAAGTAATTATCAAACCAGTGAGCGGAGCAGTATAGTCGGACGGGGCCGACCATATGATACCCTTCACAACTTCCACGAAAATTTAACTTTGTGTGGTTCTATATTCTGAGCTTCGGCAATATTTCGCGATATTTTACCCCCTTGACCGACTAGAGGTCAACAAATATTAGTAATATTCAGTACAGCTATTCTAATTACTTATCCAGATTCCTTTCAGCGTAGGTTGTGTTGTGATGTTCGGTTTTCAGTGTGGCCTATAGATCGATTCAAAAAAACACAAAAAATTAAGTTTTCGGTCCACTTCATCCCAAAATTATTATCTGATCATCACCGAAATTTATAGGCGTTGTACTTGACCATAACTGGAACCTCATGGAACATTTCAAAGCGATCAGCGCTATATTTCCGTCCTCTACTGTGGTAATGGGTTACTAAATAATATATTAATACGTAAGCACCTGTAAATATTTACGTGTAACCCCCACATCCGAGTACATACGACAACATAATTGGTATCAATTTAAAGGCCAACCACTCCTCTTGGATATAGTATCAACTTCTCGGGTCTATGTCCTTCAGGTGTAAATATATACGCCATAGAATACAAATTTTGTCATTTTTCACACAAAAGTCAGGGTCCATTTGACCCGCTAAATATTGACTGATCTTGATCAAAACAGGCATGCTTATTTTTTGACCCGATCCTCTTCTCCACGTAAAATTTCACGATGTTCGGACCATAATTGCGGACTCTGGAGCGACCAGAAAACCGACAAAAATTAAGTATTTGGTCCATTTCATTCCCTAAATATTAACCGATCTTTACCAAAAACAATAGTGGTATTCACTGGCCAGAACCCATCCTACATGCAAAATTTCGTGAAGATTGGTCCACAACTGTGGCCTGTATCGTGTTTACAAATTATAATGGACAGACGGACGGACGGACGGACACACATATCTAGATCGATCAGCTACTCGAGATATGACGATCGGTACACTTAAAGGTGGGTCTAGGACCAATATTTCGCAGCGTTGCAAACTCTTGGGCTGCACAAAGCTATAATACCCTGACAACATAGTTGTGTAGAGTATAAAAATATTCCGATCCTAACAAAAAATTGTTTTCTTTAAATATTAAAATGATATCTTTTTTTGGAAACTATTATTCAGTGAGCGGAATTATAAAGCCGACAATATGATAGCCTACATAACTAATACATAATATTAACGCTATACCAATCAATATTCCGAGTCTTGGCAATATTTCGAAATAATCGAAATCTCTAGTGTTAAAATGGAAATAATAAAGAATTCTAAATTTTGTAGACCCCTTAACACATATTAGTATGCCATGATTTTCAAAAGAATTGATTATTTATTAAAGATCAACAAATCCTCGGCCCTATACTGACAATTTTCATATGATGTAAATGTGTGCCATATGATGTAAATTTTGTCATACACACGCCTTGACAAAAATAAAGTTTCATCCTCCATAAATATAATCTCATTATAATCGAAAACTCCACATATGGCCAATGACGAATAACCGGAACTTTATGTAATTTTTTTTTTCATTTACACAAAACTATACACAGGAGCTATATCTAAATATGTACCGATTTTAACAAAACTTCGCATACGTCAATCTGTTGTGTCTCAATCGGAAAACCTTGGATATTTAATGTTTCCTCTGAACATATTTCAACAAAACTTGTCATACCTCATCTGAACCTTATTCAGTACACTGTTTGTTTATCTCCTTTCTTTTCCTTTTTCAATTTTGATTAATTTTGTAGTCCAAGTTTTGTTCCGTTTTAAATTCAAATTTATTTACAAAAATGGTTATGTGCGGGTGAACTTCTGTGTTCGGCGGTTTGTTGGAGATTATAATCTCGGTTATGTGCCATACGCATACAGGGATTCGACTCTGGCTAGCGGGTGTCTAAGAATCACGTTAAACTAACACAAAACTAATACAAAGTAGGAACCACCCTGTTAACTCCGATACTACATCTTTCACATCGACGGAGAGTAACAATGGGTTTACATCATATTGTAATAAAGCATGATTTAACAAAATCATTAGAAATTATATTTTTAAATAAAAGTAATAGAAAATCAAAATAAACTAATTCAACGCAACCATACCGCCCGCCTTGCACTAAAGTGCAACAACATCTCAGAGCCACCACTAACCATTTTCGAATCCCAAATACAATCTTAACAATAGTGTCTTAAAGTAAACAATTTAATTCAGTATGTCTTAGAAAACTAGAAAACAAAATGATATTTAACAATGAAATTAAAAGTATAGAATTCAGTCTCTCTTGGTTTTTGTTTGGTTTTGGGTTTAATCAGGTATCAAATTCAATTCAATCGGCTCGTAATCGGCACCTTCTTGCCTTCACCAAAATATAGTCGGCCGAATATGGAATCCTGGATAAAAATACGGCCAGGCTGAACCATAGGTGGTCCCACAAAAACTGCTCTGCAGGCTTCGGCTCCCAGAATCACAAAATACGGCGACGACCGGTTCCAATATCTATCTGCGTCGATCACATTACCGGGAGGGTTGGCAAACATGTTAGCCTCTTTATCAATCCGTGCAGTCGGAGTAACCCCAAATACGCGATCGCGAACCACCAATTCAACCTTGATCTTTTTTCTACACTCTGATGTTGTAACACAACCGTAGTTCTTTCGTTGTCCATAAGGACGACGCTAAACAATTTATGCACAGCCTGTTATTCATCACGAAGTCTCTTTTTTTGCTGGTGTCTAAGGCCAAAAAGGTAGTACAAAGTCGAATTGCATGAGGACGGCCACAAAGC